AGTTATTATTAAGTATATGTGAAATGTTTTGACATGCCATGTAAGCATAGCTCATTGGACAAAATTTCTAAGTTTGCTTCCGTCTTGGCCCCTTCACTATGTTGTTATATGTTTGTTTTGATTTCAGGCCATAAGTAATCTCATGATTACTGGCCGGTTATGACCTTAATCTATAGGGGCAGGTTCGGGTCATGACACAGAGGTCATCGAATTACTGGTCATTTCAACTTTCTGTTTCTTTTGTTTCTTTCCCTCTGATTCAGTTGATGTTGTTGACTTTGATATTTTCAATGCTGCTATGTTTGCCTCGGACATTAAGGCCTTATCAAGAACGTCCACATACTTTGACAACCTTAAAACACCAACTTGGTCAAACGCATTCAAGTCAAATCCACCTTCAAAATTTCTAGCCTTTTTGTAGTTAGTGTCTACCATGTGTGGTGCATATCGGGCTAGTTTAATAAATTTTGCTTCATATTAGGCTGCAGTCATGTCGCCTTGTTTTAGTTGTTCAAATTCGGATACCTTCCTATCTTGGATGCATTGGGGAAAATATTTTTTTAAAGAAAATCTCTTTAAATCTATCCCATGTCATACCCTCATTATCATCTCGTACTAACATCCACCATCTTCTAGCTTCTTCTTTGAGTGTGAATGTTGCCAACAAAGCTTTCTGTGCCTCAGTACACGGAAATACTTCAAATATTTTCTCAGTCTCTAAAACCCAAGCCTCGGCTTTTAACGGTTCAATACCCCCCACATATTCCGGTGGCTTCATTTTATTATATTTCTGTGTCAGTGTTATCATATCATAATTATAATTAGCTGGTTCAGGTACATGTATTTGCCTTTGTTGTTGTTGTCTCAAAGATTCGGTTAAGGCTTCAACCATTCTTTCTAGCCGGTTAATTCTAGTGTCAGAAGATTCAGAACCATCTACATTTCTCATTTCTTCCATTTATCTATACATAAACAAGGTAATTATCAAAATACGAAAAGTTCTCACCGATTGCATTTTTCATTTTCACTTCAAATCAAACAGTTCGTCATTTTATCTCAACTCAAATATATTCCCATAGGTTACGTAGTCTTTCACATTCATATGGTCATGTTCACAAAAATTACAGATTCGATATTGAAATCAACATTACATGTTATTCTATATAACTTCTCTGTTCATACCCATAGGTTTCATTTCATTTTCTTTTCAATTTAGATATGTTCATAATAGTTCACACACTTATACATGATAATGCAATGTCCCTATTTCTTTTCTAGGACATCCTATAGCTCATATGGACTCGTGTGTGCGGTATAACTCATGCTCAGATACCACTTTGTCACGACCTAAATCCACCCCTATAAGTTTAGTATCGTAATTGGCCAGTAATCCTAAGATTACCGAAGGCCTCTGAAACAGATTAACAAAATAAGGGGGCTAGTGGAAGCAAATACATAACTATAATTGTCCAATGAGCTGTGCTGACTTATATGAAACAAAATATTTAAAACTTTATATACATATCCAAAAGTCATTCTTACATTATACCCACACACATTATAGCATCTTAAGTACAACAAACAAAAACAAGCAAGTCTCACATACAGAAATAACCAGAACTTATGACACGCAACACATCAGGAACCTCCACGCGAGGCACAATAGTTGGCTTGACAAAATGGAAGTCAGACAGAAGCCTTTAGGCCTGGTCCTGAACACGCTCATCTACATATACATATATACCAATAGTGAGCTAAAGCCCAGTGAATAACATTAAGGTAAAGGGGTTAGTGAACGAATTTTGAACATTTCATGATCATAAAACAGATCATAACATAATCACTCTCATATCTGAACATAATAACGTAACATATCATAGAGCACATCATATATCGTCTTTCGACAAGAGTAATCGGTTCTGGATATCAATTAAACACATCACCACTTGACAAGTAACTAACAAGATCTCGTAATCACATATATGTCATGGACCCGCATTAACATGCCATCCCCCATGACTTGGGACTATCTATGGATGCCATAATAGATTTCAAACGTAGGACATTTGTTCACGTAAACAAATATCATTTCAGAAATCATAACTTATCAAATCACATTTGGAACATAATTCATATAAACATATCTTTACAATAACGTTACTCACAGTAGGCTCCCGTAAACGGTAAATCAATTTCGAGTCTTGACCTACAATCACAAGGTACATAACACAAACATATCTTATCATAACACATGTACTTGGCCATCACAACTTAGATTTCTTTATATTGGTTTCTTATTCAGTCCATTTCTCATAACTTATACACGTGAATCACATTCTCGAATTTTGCATTGGTCTCATATTTTCTAAGTTAATTACTCATGTTATTTCTTAGCTCATTACTTTTAAATGACTCATAATTCATGTCTAGATATGCTCAGAAAAGGAGGAGAACAAAAATATGACACTGAATATCTTTGAAAAAAACATATGCTGAATTTGGCCTGGCTGCTCAAGCGCACCTTTGGTCGCTCGAGAAGTCTACTCTGCCTGCCAAAATATTGGATGCTCGAAATGTCCGCTCGAGCGGCAAATCCTTCGCTCGAGCGGCAAATCCTTCGCTCGAGCGACCTGCAAAAACCCTGGGTTTTTAAAATAGAGTTTTGAGTTTTCAAATGCAATTTCAAAGGCAAACTCATGGATGACTTGTTCATAAACTTGGAAAACTTACCCAAAAACTTGAACATATGATTTTCACAAACTCTTTTGCTCAAAACTCATGGGTTTAACAAAAATTGGGCTCAAAACTCCCATGCATGTAAGTTTTACAAACCTTTTTCAAAACTCATGTCATTAGCAATTTTAAACTCAATAGTTCCATGCATGTCCAAATTTCATTTCCAAGACATGAAATTAAACTTTATAACATGATAATTCAAACATGCAAGTTTCAAGAAAATTATAATTATAATCATGGATGGTGGAATTCTAACTCCAATGACCATGCATGAAACATTCAACTTCAAATTCTTTTTCAAAGCTTACAAATCATGGAGGTTAACTTCAAAATAACTCAATTCAAGAATGCATGGGAAATGTAGCTTCAAAACTCAATTTAAACAACATATTCATGATCAAAACTAAAGAATCATGCCAAAACTATACATGTATGTTAGCTACTTCCTCTTCTTGGCATTCTTTAACTAAAAACATGCAATTAATCTCATATAGTTCATGAATTCAACTCTAAATCATCTACTCTCCAAGAATTAAGGGTTAGATGCTCACCAAAAGCCTTCAAATACTCTTGTTCTCGCAAAAACTTAAGCTACTCTAGCAAAATCTCCAACTTTTTCTTGAATCTCTACACTTTCTCTCTCTAACTAGAATATGATTTTAGAATTTTTCCACTCAAATGAAACATGCTTGAGCTCAAGAATGAGCCTAAGAGCCCACTTATATAGTTGTAATGCTAATATACATTAGTTAGAACATTAGGTTTGCCGAACACAACGTAATTAATCAAGCTAATCAAATTTTTAATAAAATTTTCCATATGATTCTAAAAATTTCGAAATTTCGAATAACATATTGATGTTACCAATTTCAGTTTCGGAGGCCAATAAGGCTTCAATTTTCATATCAAAGTAGATTTTACAATAGATATTACCACGATTAACAAAGAGAAAGTCAAATAGCATGCAAAATACACAATAAACACATAATTTATTTTAATTACTTAATTAACTTCCTGAATTACAGATTAGTACTTAATTACGGATCAGGGTTGTTACAGCAATGGCCAAGCCGAGGCATCAAATAAGACTACTTTGGATGGAATCAAGAAAAAATTGGGAGCAGCTAAAGACAAGTAGGTAGAAGAGTTGCCTAACGTGCTATGAGCATATCGAATTTCGCTGAAAAGATTGATTGGAGAGACGTTCTTTACTATGGCCTATGGCACAGAAGTAGTAATACCTTTGGAGATTGACATTCTAGGAGTAAGGACACAAGCAGTAGAGAACGGGCAAAATGAGGCATTCTTAGCCTAAGATCTTGATTTGATTGAAGAAAGAAGAGATAGAGTAGCACTTCAGCTGGGGACATACCAACAACGACTTGCTAGAGCATACAATAAAACGGTCAATCCAAGATAATTCAAAGTGGGAGACCTTGTCTTAAGAAAGGTTGTTGGCAACAAGAAAGATCATAAGGAGGGCAGACTTAGACCAAATTGGGAAAGACCGAACAAGATCATCCCGGCCGTCGGTGTAGGAGCATATCGACTAGAGGATAGTGATGGCAAGCAGTTGCTAAGACCCTGGAACACCAGTAACTTAAAATTTTTCTTTCATTAGTTTTCTTTTGATGTAATATAAAAGTCTTTAACCAAAATTTTGATTAATAAAAGCTTATTTCTATTCGTTTGTTTAAATTATTATTGATTCTTGTATAATTTTATTATGTAACTTTGGTAGAAAGTTAAGATGGAGTTAGGCCAATATGATGTTTCAACGAGAAACAAGACGAAATTAACTATGACTTTGCCATGGGACAGTAATGTCAGTTTGCCAACATGGTTAGTTTGTGATGAAAAGCCAAGGTAGTTAGTACTAGGAAATCAGTGCACTAACGTTAAGTTTTCAGTGTTTTGTTTAGACGAGCTAAACATGATAACATTGGTCAAGGATGTCTAGGTCTGCAGGACTTAGGTAAGAATGAGATGTCAACTCATTAATGTGAAGGTAAGTTGAGCTTACATTCACATTAGAGGGTAGAGAATAGAGATAGGTTAATGGAAATTTAAGTTACTGATTTGAAAGTGATACTTGGTGATGTTTTCAAACAATATATAGCTCGAGGTAGCTTAGCCCAAAGTGATTAGGCTGTTTGAGATGAGATTCCAATCCAATATATTACACTTAGAAAATTGGATGAGAAACAAGTATTAAAGACATGAAAGTAAAGAGGGCATGCATCAACAGATGTAAAGTACAATACTTAGGCAAAAACAAAAGCTATGCATTCACTAAAAATGAGTTACATCATAAGGCACTTCGGCCTTGCAAAACAAAGAAAATATTGTTTAAAGGACGATCATTGTTCAGAAACAAAAGACAAGACAAAACAGAAAAAAAAAATCCTAAGTCTAAGCTTTTGATTGAGCTTCAGTCTGGACTTTGGATTGAGTAGCAACAGTAGGGAGGACCTTAGTGGTCTTGGTGGTGGAGATGTCGACCTCAGTGTCGGTAATGATCTCATCATCTATCTTCTTGAAGGTCTCCTCAATGCTTTTGTTGGCTACAGTCTTCTCGGTCTGATTTGAGGAGGTGCTCTTGCTGACTTCTTCGTCATCTCCTATAAGGTCTAAGATTTTGTCATTGAGTGTTAGGGACTTGACGTCAGCAGCAACTTCTCATTTTTCTTCATCTCATTCTTCAGAGCCAACTAACTTCTCGACTTGAGGCTCTCTAGCAGAAAAATGAGAAAAGACAGAGATAGCTTTGATAGATCTCTGTGTGGAGAATCCTCGAGAAAAAATAGAGCAGTCAGAGCAGCGGTCCATCCAAGGTTGTAGCCTCTGTTGTAAGCAATGTTTACTTGCTTCTTGTAGCCTTCTTTGATGACCACTTTTTTCTCCTCGTAGGCTTTGGCATCGGCCTACTTGATTTGTTCTTCTTTTGTTGCCAAGGTTGTGGCACGCTTTCTTTCGACTTTGGTAGCTCTCTCCTGAGTAGCCTTGGCAGCAAGTTTAACTTTTTGTGTTTTAGCCGTGGTAGTAGTAATGGCTTCTTGTTGTTTCTCACACTTCCTCTTTGTTTCGTTAAGCTGACGAAGATATTCAGTTGCCTCAAGGGTTTTCTTGGTCAGGTCTTTTTCCATCATCTCGACCTTGAGGGTGAAGGAGTGAGTGTGCCGGATGGACTGTAAAGAAAAAGAAATAGTTAGTCAAAATAGTCTAAGTGTTAAATATTATATAGAGAAAGGTAAGGGAAGTCTTACCAAAATGGAGTTCCTTATCATGAAAGCAAAGTGTTCGTACTCGTTGCAATCACTAATTGCATCCATGTCGGCTAAAAGTAGTAGTGCGGTGGAAAGAGCAGTAGTAACCTTGGGTGTTGAGCAGCACTGTCCTCAACCTTTAGTGGTCGGCCGTCAATGGTTATCTCGAGGATCCATGCGTCATCAACAGTAACATCGGGCTATATGATTTTGGTCGCTTGGAAGTCATAGTCTCGATAGACTCTGTGGTTGGCCTTTTTTTGACTGCTATCTAGGAGATAAGGATGCTATCTTCTGGGTCTTTATCTCCAGGTGGGGGCGTCACGATCTATTTGGCTTTTTCCTTAGCTTTCTTGATTCTTTTTTCTTTTTCGGCTAAGGGAGGAGAATGAGTGGATTGCACTATGACAATGTCAAGGATGTCGCCAAAGATGTCTTCTACAATGAAAACTTAGCGAGCTATCTCGTCAGAGTTAGCAACGATTGTGACGCTTTGTTTGATTTTTTGGAAGAGCAATGAGAGGGTTTTCTGGATTGTATGTTGGAAGTGCAATACCTCAGCGTTTCTTGTTTTGGGTTTTGGCTGTAGGGTTATCGCTTTGTCTTTGTCGGTGTCGACATCAGAATTGATTTTGAGTAGGTGGGACATGTAGAGAAGGTATCGAAGTAGATGGTTGCTCGGTTGGACCAAAAGTGGAGCTTTGGTCAGGTCAAGAGGAAGTGTCCAGTATTTGTGTGCAAGGGTAGTTATGTTATTTGTTCCTTTAGTCTCTTATTATAAGTATGTGCAACCCTAATATGTTTAGTGGTGTGAAATAATAGACGGCAGCAGTACTCTCTCTTTTCTTCCACTCATTCTTTTATTTCTTTTATGCAAATCTAACATGATATCAAAGCTTCATCTTCCTCGAAGATTCTTCTTTTGTTCCTAGTTTCATTCGTTCTTCCTGATACACAGAAAAAAAAAAAAAAATCCTTCATGGTCGAAATTTGATGGGTTTTCACCCTACATTTTTATTTTAATTTTTTGATGAGTGTTTGAGTGTTTTTCCAATTTTTGTTGATTTTTGGAAAAACTAATTAATTTTTCAGAAGTCCCTGCTAGGCCTTGTTTTTGGCTAATTTTTCCCATCCTCCCTCTACCGTGGGAGCCGACTTGGACTGTCCTAGGGTTGGGAGACTTGGGTTTGATGATTTGGTAAGGTTTCACTCTATTTTTGTTGATTTTTCCTTAGTTTCTGCTGGTTTTTTGCCTCTCCAGCCCATGTTTTAGCTCTGTTTTTGTCTCTAGCGGTAACTTTTGTCCCTAAGTTGAGTTTGTGGATTTGCATCTATTTGTTTTTTGCTGTTTTGGGCTGTATTTGTTTTTCTATTGTGGGGATTTAATCTTCAATGGTTGAGAGTGAGACTAAGGATACCATTAGTAATGAGGGTGGCATGTGTCATGTTATTACTTTTACCGATAGTCCTTCTCTTCAAATTAGTCCCGTTAAATTAGATGGTTCCAACTATTTGATTTGGTCACGCTCCTATAGTCTTGCTATTGCTGCTCATCGGTTGACTGGCTACATTACTGGTTTTCTTCCCCTACCGGATGGTGATGACTTCCTCCTTACACAATGGATTTCTAAAAATGCTCTTGTTATGACTTGGCTAATCAACTCTATACAACCCACCATTAGTCAGAGTTTTTTTTTATTAGATACTGCTCATAAGATTTGGACAGCTGCATCCCAAATGTACTCCCAACAAGGTAATGATGCACAGACATATGAGTTGAGGAAAAAGCTTCGGAGCTTATATCAGAAAGATAGATCACTCGCAATCTACTATGCTGAGTTGAGTAGTTTGTGGCAGGAACTAGACTATTACCAAAGCTTCCAGGCTGTTTGTTCTCGGGATACTACTTTGTTTCAGCAAACCGTGGAGAAGGAGTGTGTGTATGACTTTCTTGCTGGCTTGAAGTTGGAGTATGATCAGATTCACGCCCAGGTGTTGGGTCGTTCACCTTTTCCCACCCTATGCGAGGCTTATGCCCTTGTCCAACAAGAGGAGAGTAGTCGTAGTGCTATGGTTCATTCCTCTATTCAGGATCATTTTGCTTTAGTTATTGCTTCTCCTCCTCGAGCTCCTCGGGCTAGTCTGATTTAGTGTGGGAGTCAAGGTACATTGGTTGATTAAGATCGCTTGAAGTGTGATTATTGTGGGAAAGCCAGACATGATCGAGAGCATTGTTAGAAAGTGAATGGTTGCCCTACTTGGGGTCGAGGTCATGGTTGTACAGTTCGTCCTCAAGCACATGTGTTTGAGATTGCTATGAGCCCTTCTTCTGAGCCTAGCACTCTTTTCCAGGATGAATTACACACTCTCAAGCGCTTAATGGCTCGACTTGACTCTTCTTCTACCATAGCTTCTTCCACTTCTGTTTCTTCTAATTTTGTCAACACAGGTATTTCTGCTAGTGCTCTTAGTACCTTCTCATCGCCTTATTGGATTATTGATTCCGGTGCCACTGACCACATGACATGTGCCTCTAGTCTTTTCTATTCTTATTCTCCTTGTTCCGGCCGAGACAAGGTTCGAGTGGCATATGGCACTTTATTTTCTATCTCTGGCAAGGGTTCGGTTAATTGTTCATCTTTGCTTTCTCTTTCATCTGTGCTTAATGTTCCTACTTTTTCCACCAACTTGTTTTCTATTAGTAGTCTTATTACTTCTCTAAATTGCTCAGTGACATTTTTTCCTATTCATTGTGTCTTTTAGGACCTGGCTATGGGAAAAATGATTGGCAATGGTAGAACATAAGGTGGGCTATACTTTCTGGACGCCGTTTCTCCTGTCGTCCTATCTCAAGCTCTCGAATGCACTACTGGCTCTCCTCTTTCTCTCCTTCATCAATGGTATCGCCGTTTGGGTCATCATTCTTTTAGTGTTTTAGAGAAACTTTTTCCTTCTTTAGTTCGTAATTGTCCTAGGAGTATTTTTGGTTGTGATGCTTGTGAACTTGCAAAGCATAAATGTACTTGTTACCCTTCAATTAATAAAAGAAGTACTTTTCCGTTTATTCTTATTCATGTCGATGTGTGGGGCCTTTCCTCTGTGGTTTTTACTTCTGGGTATCGATGGCTTGTTACATTTATTGATTGTTATTCCCGTGTGACTTGGATTTACTTGCTTCGAACTAAGAGTGAAGTTTTTTCTTGTTTCCAAACTTTTCACAAAATGGTGACCAATCTTTTTAATGCTCAAATCAAAATTCTTCGTAGTGATAATGGGGCTAAGTATGTTGATGGAGTTTTTCGAGCTTATCTAGAGGAGCATGGCATCCTTTATCAGACTAGTTGTGTCGGTACTCCTTAGCAAAATGGGGTTGCCGAACGTAAGAATGACCACCTTCTTGAAGTTACTTGCTCTCTCTTGTTTACCATGAATGTCCCTAAGTCTTTTTGGGGTGATGTTGTTCTGCTTACCTTATCAATCGTATGCCTTCCGGTGTCCTCCAATTCCAGATTCCTCTTCAACTGCTTCTTGTCAAATATCCAACCTATTCTCTTCCTCCTCGGGTGTTTGGGTGTGTCTGTTTTGTTCATTTGTAACCTCGTACTCGTGAAAAACTCGATCCTAAGGCTGTGTGTTGTGTCTTTATTGGTTATTCTGCTACTCAGAAGGGTTACAAATTCTATGATCCTCACACTCACAAAATGTATGTTAGTATGGATGTCACTTTTCGTGAATCTGCGTCTTTCTTTTCTTCTCCTCCGCCATCTCCTCTAGGTGAGCGTAGTAGTGGTATGGATGAGATTGCGGATGAGGAGATGGCCTATCAACACTAGTTGTCTTTTTTCCTTCCTAGTCAGCGGACCATTATTTGTGGTGAGGGGAAGCCTAACAGTTCTTTTGATATAGAGCCTGACATTGGTGGTCGTTTGGATAGGGTTGATCTTAAGACTTATTCTCGACGTCTGAAAGAGAAAGTTTCCCTTGTGCCACCAAACCCATCATTACCCCTCATGCCAGTTTCAGGTAATGCATCTCAGTCTATTCCTCTACCTGTAGTTGAGAGTCTTATTATGAATGATTCGAGTCTTCCTATTGCTCTTAGAAAGGGGGTTAGGGCTTGTACTCAACACTCCATTTCTAAATTTGTATCATATGATTCATTGTTTTATACATATCGTGCTTTTGTTTGGTCTTTATCTTCTGCATGTATTTCCTAGGGTTGGAAGGAAGCTATCAATGATCCTAAGTAGAAAGTAGCTATGGTCGAAGAGATGCAAGCTTTAAGCAAGAATAACACTTGGGAGTTAGTTCCTCTTCCTTGTGGAAAAAAACCTGTGGGGTGTAAGTGGGTGTTCACCATCAAGTAAAAAGCAGATGAAACAATTGAATGGTACAAAGCACGATTAGTGGCCAAGGGGTTTACTCAGACATGTGGAATTGATTACCAAGAAACCTTTGCTCCTATGGCAAAGATGAATTCCATTCAAGCTATTCTATCATATGCAGCTAATTTAGGATAGCCTTTATAGCAGTTAGACATGGAGAATGCATTTCTCCATGGTGATTTGGAGGAGAAGGTATATATGGATGTACCACCAGGATTCTAATCTCAGTCTATAGTTGGGAAAGTTTGTAGGTTGAAAAAGGCGTTATACGGTTTGCAACAGCCTCATCGAGCTTGGTTTGACAGATTCCTGAAGGCTATGTTGAGGTTCGGGTACAAGCAAAGCAATGTAAATCACATAATATTTGTCAAACGTCATGCAAATAAGGTAACTGTGCTTATAGTATATGTGGATGACATAGTTGTGACAGGTAATGATGAGGAAGAAGTGACGCATCTTAAGATGCTGTTGGCCAAGAAATTTGAAATCAAAGACCTTGGTTTGTTGAGATACTTTCTTGGAATTAAAGTTGCCAAATCTGACAAAGGCATCTTTCTTTCTCAGCGGAAGTATATCCTAGATCTTCTTAAGGAAATTGGCATGTTAGGCTGCCGACCTGCTGATTCGCCAATTGAGGCTAATCACCATCTTTGTAGTGGTGTTGGTGATCTTGTGGAGAAGGAAAGGTACCAGCAACTTATGGGAAGACTTATATATTTATCCCACATTCGTCCAGATATTGCCTATGTGGTTGGGATAGTGTGTCAATTTATGCATGAGCCTCGTGCCCCTTATTTGGATGCAGTGTATCGCATTTTGAGGTATCTTAAATCTGCTCATGGAAAATGGATTTTATTTTCCAATCATGGTCACTTGAGGTTGAAGGCATTCACAAATGCTGATTGGGTTGATTCTATAGATGACAGACAATCTACCTCCAGTTACCGTGCATTTGTGGGGGAGAATTTAGTTACATGGCATAGTAAGAAACAAACGGTGGTGTCTAGATCTAGTGTAGAGGCAAAATACAGGACTATAACGCATGGTACATGTGAATTGATGTGGCTTCAGTCTTTGTTGAATGATATTGGGTTTGTTTGCAATGAACCATTGACACTGTACTGTGACAACAAAGCTGCCATTAGTATTGCTCACAATCTTGTTCAGCATGACAGAACAAAGCATATTGAGATTGATAGACATTTCATTAAGGAGAAATTGAATAAGGGTTTCATACGTATGCCTTTTGTGAAGTCTGCAAATCAACTAGCTGATGTCTTTACTAAGGGTCTTAGTAGTAAGGTTTTCCATCCCATTTGCTGCAAGTTGGGCATGAGAGATATCTTTGCACTAACTCGAGGGGGAGTGTTAAGTATTAGTGTATAAGGGTAGTTATGTCATTTGTTCTTGTAGTCTCTTATTATAAGTATGTATAACCTTAATATGTCTAGTGGTGTGAAATAATAGATAGCAACAATACTCTTTCTTTTCTTCCATTTATTCTTTTCTTTCTTTTATGCAAATCTAACAGGAAGACCTCGAAGTGGTTGCTAATGGTGGAATTTAGGTTCGTGACGGAATGTCGGACAGTTAAGATCAATAGATGGTGATGTAGTTGAGTAAGAGAGGAACCTTTCTTTCCCAGATGGGTAGCTCAAAGAGCCTAGTGAGGTTGGCTCTCTTGATGTATGATTTGTGAAAAGGTTTACTTGGTTAAGGAAGTTTTACAAAATAGAGAAAGAAAAAGTTAGAAAATTGATTAAATGTAAGATTTTTGTTTTAAATGGTTAAAGTGTGTGATCTAGGGAATTAATGCTTACCTTCATGATCCCCTAGAATCCCTTTGCACAAAGGGTAGAGGTAAAGGTTTTCATCCGTAGCAAATTCCGAATTGCCCGAGACGATGAGGTAGTCTTCTCTAGCACCCATGTTAGAGTTTGGATATTTGGATTTGAGGTAGAAGGAGGTGCTATTCTTGGATTTGAGGCCACATATGGTGTAACAGTATTGGATGTTGGGAAGGGTTAGCTTAGCATTATGTCAGTGTCACAACTCGGCGATGCCGTTTACGATACCAAAGGTATTGATGGTGAGTTGCATTCGGTTCAGTTTGTAAAAGTACATAATCTCTCGAATAAGATATTGAGAGGGAATTTAATTCTAATCTCTATGAAGGATACTACAAGGAAAGACATGTAATCATCCCCAGACATAATGGAGTCATTCTCACTGGCTAGCCTAATGTGAACGTCGATTGGAATGTCAAATTCTGGGCAAAAATTTTCTATCTTAGTTGGAGTGTCTACCCTCCATTTGTGCATACTGTAGACACCCTATTTTGATCGACCTTAAGACTTGGGTGCTTTTTTCTGAATACCTAATGATGAAAGTTGGAATATGCTATGTTACGATATCCTCAGCAGGAGAGCCGGGTTCAAGCTTTAATCCCAACCCTACACCTGTTTTGGCCAAACTATTTTAGACTTTTTAAATCTTTTTCAATTTTTTTTTTCCATGTGAATTCAAACATTTCTACAAGGTTCGAGGCTCAATGAGAATTTTTTGAAAAAACCCTGTTTTCCTCTTCTAAAAAACTGTCTGGCCAAACAATTTTTTGTCTGGCTGGCCACTGTTTTGTCTGGTTGGCTGAATTGTTTGGGAAACAGAGCATTTTTGGAAAATTCAACATTTTCTTTGAATTTTACAAAAATATCTCAGATATTTTGTCTGTAAGCTTCCTCCACAAATATCTCAAATATTTTCTTT